CTTCGCCTTCGGATGCGGGGTGGCGACCAGTCGTGGTTCTGGTGCTTTCTTCACCACATCAACGAAGGACGCTCCGGATTCTGCCACCAGGCCTGAAACCAGACATCGACCAATCAGAGGCTTCTTACAGCCATATTTCACAAACACCTGAAGCAGAATTCACTGATCTGCCTTTTTCCTGTTCTGATCTCAGACGGTCTCAGTGCAGGCTGTGAATCAGTCATGTCACCATGTTTTTCGGTTTGTAGACATAGTTTCTCCCTTTTTCATGGACCTGAGTGCAATGTTTAATCAGAGCGGTCTGACAAAGTAAAGAAATTGATACCATAGTATTGTGAATTAACATTTTCTGATTCGCTTTGTCAACATCTGCTTTATCCAATCACATAAAGTTATCTCACGTCAGTTATTAACAGACTGCAAGTAACTGCCAACTAGACCATTCAGTCTGCTAACAGCTGCTAACAGTCTGCTTCCTCTCCTTTGTTCCTTTACTTTTATGTCCTCTCCTTCTCTTCTCTCTTCAAACTGAAACTCTCTCAGAGCTCAGAGACGAGGCAGTCTAGTGCGGGTTTTTCAAAATAAAAGCTGTGAGCACACTGACCGTGTAGAGCTCTGTAGGCTGAACCCAAACAAGTGGAGTCGGACAGGTCGATGGTGTAGACCGGAGCGTTGAACACGTCAGACAGCACCTATGGAGGAGACCACAGGAAGTGACTCTTCTCCCTCTGAAACTCACAAAAATGCTGCTGCTTTGATGACATCATTATGGCTATGTCCATCTTTTACATACAGTCTATGCATGTGGGTGCTAATAAAGCCTCAGACAGACCTGCAGGATCTCTTTATTCGATGACGCTCTTCCCGTCGCCAGAACTCTGGTTCCTGGAACTGAAAACACAAAATGTCCTCCCAGCTGAGACTTAAAGGACATTCAAGGTTTATCTAAGGAGGACGACGGCTTTACCGTCACCTCAGTCACAGTTACAGCACTCTGGCTCAGAATCAGAACCAGTGTAAAGACTTCTGTATGAAACGAGGGCTCAGGTTTAAAACGTGTAATCAGAGCTGAGCGTGATCCACGAGTTTCCTCACACAGTAAAATCAAACAACAAATGGAAGCGTGTGAGGTCTGAGGAGGTCTTACTGATGGAGTATCCCAGTCTCTCAGCATGAAGCCGTCTGGACAGGAACTGACCCTCCACCACAGCCCGAACCTCCACCTGAGGACTCAGCGAGGACACCTGAAACAGGTGGGGCAGGTATGTCACAGTCTGGGTGTTAATAGATGGAAACATGATAAATGTTGGTGCACAGACCTCATAGTCAGCAGAGTCAAAGCGATGAACACCAATCACAGGAGGAGTGATCTCCATAGTTTACAAATAAAAGCCTGAAAACACACATCACAAGGAATCAGACAGAGGAGGCAAGGAAGGAAGGAAGGTAAGGAAAAAGAAAGGAACTGAAGCAAGGACAGGAAATGATGAGGTGAAAAAAACCTCACCGATGTTTCCGAGCGGCGTGTCCCTCAAAGCTGCTGAGAAAATTTCCCATGATGCTCCAGCACACTCGTTCCTGACGCGCTCCCTCGTCAGAGACCCGTTCTTGAAGCTGCTGATGACAAAACACCTGAAACACTGCAGCCTGTCTCTGGCTCCACCCCCTTTCCTAACCAACCTGGTCGGACGCATCGAGGAGTCTGGTTCCCTCTGACTTTCTTGACATCATTGAACCCTCACCTGACAGCTCACCTGTTTAAGATAAGATAAGATCCCTCGGGTGGGTTCCTCTGGGAAATTCGACTTCCAAAAAAAGCACAGCAACGACCAAAGTTACAGTTACAGAATTGTTATATATATATATATATATATATACACACACACATATAAATACAGAGACAAATATAAATAAAATATACAAAGGGGATAAATAGAATAAATAGGAATAAAAAATAAAAATACAAGTGAATTGCACATTTCA